TTTATTGGGTTGGCAACTAAGTAATTGCCGATTTCAGTTATAGATGTCTCTCACTCCCATTTTTATGATATCCGTAAATGTTATATTATAAAATTATTATTATTATTATGTTATTTTTTATTATCCGTGAATGTTAGCAACTAGACAAATTGAATGCAGCGGTCAAGCAAAAGCGACCAGAATTGGTCAATCGTAAAGGTGTCATTTTCCAGCAGGACAATGCTAGGCCGCACACGTCTTTGTCCACTCGGCAAAAATTAATGGATATTGGTTGGGAATCGATGTTACACCCACCATATAGCCCAGATCTCGCGCCATCGGATTACCATTTATTTCGATCCCTGGACAACTCCCTTCGTGGTAAAACTTTTAACGATGATGATGCTGTAAAATCTCACTTAACTCAGTTTTTGGCCGAAAAGGATCAGACTTTCTACGAGCGTGGAATTTTCAAGTTGTCAGAGAGATGGCGAAAGGTCATCGAACAAAATGGAAAATACATTACAAATTAAACTTCGTTCCAAGCAAAACAAAATTTTTTATTTCATCGAACAAATCGGCAATTACTTAGTTGCCAACCCAATATAAGATATGTATCCACAGATACCGAGCGACCCTATAAAAACTGATTTTTCGTGTTATTTTATAATTTACAGAGATCTTGATCTCGGCGTCGGAATTTTTTCAACTGTCTCTGTCCTGCACACGTGTTTGTATCTACCCCGTCGCCTTGTTGACAGACCTTCCGATGGGACTAGAGACACGGAGAAGGTAAAGGTAAAGGTTACTTTACCTTATTTGCGTGTGGTAGGCGGGAGCCGTGTGCTCGGTGTGCGTGGTCAGGAGTTCCGCCGGAACGGTGTCCATGTCGATCGGCTGAGTCCTCGATATCGCGATAGGCTGCACCTGAAATACGCCGGGCGTTGTCGGTGAAGGTTGTGGCCCTAGCAACGACACGCGTACCATTTCCCTACCTTCGCTGTAAAAGAAAACAAACAGAACGTGACGCATGAAAATCCTGTTCAACGTCGCATCGTCGAGCTCTAATGCTACACAATCACCGTTTTCTTTTCAAATTACAGTAAATTCTCCCTAATCGAGGCTCAGATTGCGCACAAAAATATATAGTTCGAGAAAAGGAGATACGATTATTCGAGCCTGGCGCCTCATTTTATAATTGTTGACAATCGGTAACTATAAAAATGAGCCGCGAGGCTCGAATAATCGTATCCATTCTTTCCAAATTCTCCCTAATTGACGCTCAGATTGCACGTAGAAATGGATAATTTGGAAATTTACGATTATTCGAGCCTTGCGCCTCATTTTTATAATTGTAATCCCCTATTTTTGGATTGCGAGACTGTATGTGTACATTAGGCACACGTGAAACAGAGATCACTATTCTGCTGTTAATTACTGTATCGTTCAATATCGATGCTTTATCCCGAAAACTCCTTCTTCGACTGAGACCTAGCCGATAGGTAGCCGATTGTTCCCAGCCCGTTAAAGACGAGGGCAAAGCGAACCACGCCTCTCCGCCAAGGTAGATATAATTCTCTATCAGGACTCTGTTTTTGCTCCTACGGAATTGAGAGCAATGAAGCCACGCCCCATTGGCCCCGAGATGAGAAATCTGCTTTTTCCGTAAGATCAGGTAACGCAGAGCTCGCACACACACGCGTTGCGCGACGAACGTTCGATCGAAGCTAACGACACTGTGTTTCGTCGATACGTCGCGTTATTATATTGATACGGTTATCGAGTAATTCCGCAAATTGGCGTGTGTGTCAGCACACCCTTTGGCACCGAGCCATTCGTGCAACACGTGAGGCCAACCAAATAGTCGGCGACTAGAAGAGCGCCACCGGGGAAGAAAGTCGAGCCTGGTAAATCGCCATTAGCTAATCGAGCCCTCTCGTGCCAGCCGTGATACTAATCGATTTCTCCGGTTTCACGGCTCGATCTATCGATCGATCGATCCGTCGATCGATATCTTCTATTATGTTAAATCCGTCGGAACTCCTCTTTAATCTTCGTTCATTTTCCGTGGAGCTTTTTTTCGGCTTCGAACGATAAACCGCGCGCTCCATCTATTTTCACTCTCGCATCTCCGTTAATCCCGTTACGCCGAGTCCATTAAAGTCTTTATTTATGAGGACAATTTAATTTTCGAGCTTCCATGGTGCTGAATTCCGTGGCACGACGCGGCACTCTTTGAGAGAAAATGGTACCGAAATGATCGAACTGCCGAAAATCGCAAAAGGTACACTTAGACTACTGGATACAATAATTCCTCCCTAATTCGCGCTCAGGTTGCGCATAGAAATGGATAATTTGCGAAGAGGAGATACGATTATTCGAGCCTTGCGAGCCTTGTTTTTATAATTGTAAATTATAATTGTAAAGACGAACCGCAAGGCTCGAATAATCGTATCCCCTCTTCCCAAATTGTCCATTTTTATGCTCAAAAATTACTGTACTGTAATGTCTCCCTTACTGACGCTCAGATTGTCCACTAAAATGGATAATTTAGGAAAAGGAGATACGATTATTCGAGCCTTGCGGCTCGTTTTTATAATTGTGGACAATTTTTATGTTTAAAAATTACTGTACAGTAATGTCCCCCTTACTGACGCTAGGATTGTCTACAAAAATGGATAATTTGGGAAGAGGAGATACGATTATTCGAGCCTTGCGGCTCGTTTTTATAATTGTGAACAATTTATAACTACAAAAATAAACCACAAGACTCGAATAATTGTATCTCCTCTTCTCAAATTATCCATTTTTATGCTTAAAAATTACTGTACAGTAATTTTTAAGCATAAAAATGGATAATTTGGGAAGAGGAGATACGATTATTCGAGCCTTGCGAGCCTTGTTTTTATAATTGTAAATTATAACTGTAAAGACGAGCGTCAATTATAGAGACATTACTGTAGCGTATTTATCCCGTAGATAAATGTATTATTATCTAAAGAAAAAAAGAACGACACACGACGTTGGTCCCGCTTAGGGCTCGGTGGTTCTGTTAACGAAGGCTCGACCGACAAATTGCTGCTCCGTACAAATGTCGCAGTTTCGAAGAAAGAAATACCGCCGGCAAAATGTTGAAGTGTTCTCGACGAGGCCTACAATTAATCCCTTGCACGCGCGCACGCGTTCTCTCTCGGAGCGTCGGTGCCAGCGGGGAACCAATTAGGAGAGACGGATCAACCTTTCGATGCATAAAGCGAGTGGTTTCCGCGCGAGAGTACTTTCAAGGGAACTCTGTCCTTTACGGCGCCGTAAACCGAGTTTCGCCGAGACAGAGGTTGCTCTGTTTGTCGGGGAAAAAGCCGCGCGCGACGCGACACTGCGGCGTGCTGCTCCGAGAACATCGAGGCACGTCGAGAATATCGAGGAGAGGCGACCTTGCGGAACGATAAAACGAGGAATTTGCCTCGAGACAGATTGTCACCCTATTCGGGCCTATGGTTGTTTGCCGCCACCGCCCCGCGGTGGTTCGCTGGAAATGGTGACCCTCTTACTGGTCGAGGGCCACCCCTACGGATCGCCGACGAAACCGTTTAATCGATATTTTTCGACGCGGGAGCTTCGCCCGGCGAAACACGAGCCATTCGAATAGGTCGAGCCTCGGGGCTTGCAAAATTTTAAAATCTCTCCGATCATCGGAAACAAAAAATTGGAAAAGAAAAATCATCGGAAGCAAAAATTGTTATTCAAGTGGGAAGTGGACGGTTCCCGAGGTCATTTGAAGTAACTTTTTCCTTAGCGAAATTACAATCCGCGGCTTCGTTTACGAGTTATTCGCGAAAAACGCTGACCAATGAGAGGCGAGATCGGCTGGCGCGAGGCGGCAGAGTCAATCAGCGGAACTGGGCCTCGCGCGCTGGTTGGCTGGGCCGCCTCGCGTCAGCCGTACTCGATTCTTATTGGTCACTGTTTTTTTGTTAATAACTCGTTAACGGTGCCTCGGAGACAAATTTTGTAAAGGAAGAAGTTGCTTCAAATGATCCGAGAAACCCGCCATTTCCGGATTGTGAGACATTTTTGGGAAACCCTGTAGATACCGCGATACATCATCACCGGTGTCGTTAGAGCACATCGTGCTCTGACTGTTAGTGATCCCAGTATCGTGTATACAATGTAAAACGCGATGAATGGCCGTCTTTGATTAGTGGAGAAGACCACACGAAAAAGGGTATAATATAATATAATGTAATATAATATAATATAATATAATATAATATAATATAATATAATGTAATATAATATAAGCAGGCGATTTTCTATCGCCGGTCTCTTAGTTGAATTTAGTCGCTCAGTCATTTAAAATTTATTATATATTGTATTTATAATTATATATATATTATTTTCATTTATTTTTCATAAAAATAAAATTTTTAAGAAAAAGAATTAATATCATATTCATTTGAGAAATAATCCAAGCCACAATCCCAATATTATGAAATAAAAAAATAAGAAAGAATTAGTACACAAGAAAAAACAGAAAAGTAAACGGAAAAATATATTTAAAAAATATACATAAATTAATTATACTTCCCCATACTTAAAATGCGAATTCTATGCAAATTTCATGCATTACTGAGAAAAATGCGTAGCTGCAACTCCAACTGGTCGATAAATAAAGTGAATTGGCGTGGCTCCTGTTTCTTGCAACAGACGCAATTATAATTTATATTTTGCATAAAGATCTGCGCTCTACTCGCAGCGAATATAAAAAGAAAATCCAATTTGTTTCTTCTGCCTAACGAATTTAATTACACAGCCACGAATCCGTCCGGTTCTCCGTCGTCCGGCCCGCTTATTTAGCAACTTTCAATTATGGTTGTATCTATTTTACCCGTTCGAGCGCTTCGGATCGCGCGCAGGAAACAATTTCCAATCGTGGAGTGGTGCGTTTCGTGACGAAAGAAATACACTAGAAACAGCTGGAATGTGTCATTAGCACGCGAGAAACTATGCTGCTCGCGTCCGTGCCTATAATATTGTTGTTCATTGCTCGTGGTAACAAATCTATCCTATCCGTTCTGTGTCACGAGGCTATTATTCTTAATAATGATCTTACACGTACAAGTTCCGTGCCCTTTTAACCCCTTGCCGTACTTTGACGAGTCCGACTCGTAAAGATCTTAAGTAATAACTGATCGAGTATAAATTGTTATAAATTGAGTATAAATAATAGAATTACATAATTAAATAAATAAATAATTACATAAATAACTGTCCTTTGAAAGTGAAATAAAATTCTAATCCTTTATCATCAATATTTAAGCATTCGAGTACATTTGGGCGCACTATAAGCATTAATTTTTTTTCCTTCTAAGGAATGATTGCGATCGAAAAATTACTAATCGCAGTGACTGCGAGGGAAATGGTATGTCAAGGGGTTAAACGAGTATTCTGGTCTATAGGAGTGAGTTTATTCGACTACAGAATTATTCGAATAATTTATACGAATAAATAGATAGAATAAATAATGACGAATAATCGACAGTCGAATAAAATAATCGGTTAAAAAGTATTCGATCGGATAATTTTCATGGATAAATGTTTATTCGAAACAATTCGAACATGTAATTCCGAATTCTGCCGTACACCTGTAGGAGAATTATGACAACAAAGTGTCTACCTTGAACTGATTAGCGCCGCCGACGATTTATCAGTTTTTCTTCGAATCGCGCGAGCACGTGCCGCGTCGTGTGTTAATATTATCTAACTGGCAGTGTTTCTTCCACTCGTCGAAACGTGACGTCAGTCTCGATGCGGTTCTAAAGAGAATACCGTATTCCCAAACGAGCCACTCTCTCTTTCTCTCTCCCTCTCCCCGCTCTCTTTTGCTCTCTCCATTGTTCTCTCTCGCTCTCCGGCTCTCTTTTGCTCTCTCTCGCTCCCTTTTGCTCTTTCTCTCGCTCTCTTTTGCTCTCTCTCTCTCTCTCTCGTTCCCTCTCGCTC